GAAGCTTCTGGTGACAAGCGCTAATTTTGGTCTTAATGATTTGGAAAAATATAGATTTTTTTTTCTTAATTTAAACTAAAAATATTGAATGCATCCATATAGTATTTACGAGTTTATCTTGTTGCATCGCCCGAAGCGACATACGAGGGAAAATGTTCATAGAATCAAACGTATTTCTAAATTGGTAAATATATTTAAATTGAAGTCTCTAAACTGCTTAAGATTTTATTTACATAAAATCGTTTTATATCAAGTGCTTCAAGTGTCAATTTTTTCAATGATTTCATGCCGTGTATGTATGCCCTTTAGCATTTGGTGTATTTAAAAATGGCTTTAAATTCCTAAAAATCCCGGCAAAAACATAAGGAGCTCTATGCTGATAAAGCCCCGCATATGTACGTGTTGGTTTTGAACTGAGATGTGTACACGCTCATAAAATGTTTGCGACTGTCTTCGTATGTCTGTGTGCATATGCTCTTATAAGAATTCTGCCTATAGTCGTACACACACACACACACACACACACACATATATATATATATATATATAAGGCTAAAAAATTATGGTTATAATTTATTACATTGGAATCGTAATCACGATCCAAATCATCAGACCTACGAATTCCCAAAAACAGACACACACACACACACACACACACACACACACACACACATATATATATATATATATATATATATATATAAAATATATATTGAGGCGAAATGTATATATATATATATATTGAGGCGAAATGTATATATATATATATATATATATATATATATATATATATATACACATTTCGCCCCAGGCAAAGCAGTAATACCACTAAGATGCAATGGGTAAGTAAGTGTGAGAGAATATGTTGAAAAACATTATTAAGGAGAGAGAAGAACGAGAATTAAGAAGACAACATAATGACTGACATTGCATTTAAATGTTTGAAGATTAAAGTTTACTGGAATATAATAAGTGTGGACAAAGTTCCACAAGCGAGAAATATGAGCGAAGAAACTGTTAGCATAGAACTTGCGGTTGCATCTAACTATTTTCACTGCAAAATGATGAGACCTTGCAGCCAATCTAGTACTTGACTTAAAGATTTAAAAACGTCTCGATACCATAGGGGTAAGTTCATCCGAACAATTACCATGGAAACATTTATAGAAAATTCACAGAAAACTACGTTCAGGTGGTGGAAAAGTGACTAGAGCCGAGATCACAAGCCAGGGCAAATATCTTTTCAGAATTTTTTTTTTTTATTATTTCATCATGAATCTCTAAATACATAGCAGACGTACCGGGCACATATGATGGAAAAGAGAATTCACTAGTAGCCATCGAAGAATTTAAATTAATTTAGCAAAGTTCAAAGTTATCCCGGGAACGTTTCAAGAGTAAATATTCTACAGAAATTCTAAGAATAACATATTGCAGAAAGAATGGCCGAGTATGTAGGTGATTTTTTTTTTTTTTTTTTTACTGATTTACTCGTATTTCTGGTCAGTATATTTGTCAAAGGATGATACTGTTTTAAGAAGAAATAAACCAAAATAAGTATCACTATCCATTGTCTACGTCAATACAAACTGGCCATAATGTGGCTAAGACGAAAGCATAATGTGGCCTCATGGGTGCCCACTAGAAATACATGCAGGAACACCAGTTCATGTACGACATAATAAACCGATATTGTACGAACAGAGCAGCCTGTCTAAGTGATACCGACGAGTCCGGTCTCATTAATAGTAGTCGCATGCAGTAACCACCCAGACAACTGCCAACCGGGTATGCTCATAATGAAAAGACGCAAGGACTGAACAGACAGATGGCAAAAAAACTTGATACAGTTAAATCATTAACACCATAGATGAAAAAACCAATAAACGATATTTTAAACGAGAAAATGGATACACCCTACTCCTGTACAATAAACATAGGTGTAATATATATATCTGCCTAAGATTTGTGACTATCGTCGTATAGCTATATGTAAATGATCGTATAACATTTGCTCCTATGGCTGTATATGTTCCTGTAAGATTTTCGATTTTGGATGCTTGATTATGTGTATATTCTGGTGTAATATTAGTGACATTTGTCGTATTCCAGTGTATATATATGCTTGTTTAATATTTGTGACTGTTGTCGCATTATTATGTGTATATGTTCGGATAACATTTGTCACTATGGTTGTATGACTATGTGTATATGCTCGTATAATATTTTGGATTTTGGATGTTTGACTATGTGTATATGTACCTGTAATATTTGTGAATGTCGTTGTATTGCCATGCGCATATGCTCGTAAAATATTTGTATTTCCGTCGCGCAGGGTTGTCCACGAAAATTAAATTCCCTTTAATGGCTTCCCCTTCGCCTCGCTTTCTATCACCCTTCAGTAATGCCAGCGGCGATGGTCCGACTGTATATGTTCGTATAACAATTGTCATGTTGCAGAATCTCTGGAGATAGTTCATGCGGGTCCCATTTCCCAACCATTGATTCCTTTCCGATCCTATTTAATTGGCGTGACACGGTTGTATGGTTTACGTTAAATTGTTCGGCAAGTTCCCTAGAGGTAGTGGTGGGATTGTCTGTGATGGATTCAAGTTTGTTTTTTGTTTTTTTTTGGACGTCCTTCTTTTTTGCTGTCTTTCAAATTGAAATGCCCTCTTCGGAAACGGTAAAACCACTTCCTGCAATTTCTTTCATTTATTGCATCATCTCCATCTGCATTCTGATTAGACTTTGCAGCTGCACTTGCACTGACATATGCATGAAACTCATACAGAAAGATATGTCGAATGTGATCTTTAGAGGGGACGAACATGGGTGCAAATATTGCGGAAGATCATGAAAAATATAATTATAATCCGAAAAAGAAAGGCATAAAATACTTACTATGCAATTAACTATAAAGAAAAAAATTCATAAATACTATACAAAAGTTTCTTTCCAAATATTGGACATTACTTTTGCATCAACCAGATATAATATTTGTGAATGTCGTAGTATGACTATGTGTATAAGCTGGTATACAATTTATTTTTACTGTATTACTATGTGTATATGCTCGTATAAGATGTGTGACAGTGGTCATATGACTCTTCGGTTTTGATCTCTGTCAAGGCTGGAATCTGGGGACTAGTCAGACCTAGTTTCTGTATAGCGGCAGTATTCCACTTTGGGTCGGATAGAGCTTAGTAGGTGGTGTTAGATACTTAAAAGTAGGGTAGAATTTTTTCCAGCGACCATTTTTGGATTCCACTTAATGTCTTTCCACTCTATAGACGAATCGTTTGATCTATGGATTCCAATATAACATTAATCTGAATGGTCATGAACTCCAGTCTCTATAGATTTAACTTTAGATTGGACCGTGAATTTGGGAACATTAGGGAGATTTTCAAACGGCTATCCGGAGGCCCTTTGACTTATTATTAGACAAAACTAAATTCTCTTTATATTGTCAATTTGAAGATTCCCTGTAAATGGTCAGACGAACGGTTTCATTTCCCATCAGTTGCTTTACGAATTTTTCAAACTAGGTTGCGTTATCCTATTGAATTTAGTTAGAATTTAACCAGTTGCTTCGTACAACCTTTTTGGAAAACTGTTAATCAGCACGTACCTTCTACGACATAAGATAGATAGAGATCTTCCCCATGAAATTGTCAACATTTAGTTGAGAATATAGCTGGTCATTGTTAAAAAGATTTTTATTCAGGTAAAATCATTTGTTTTGGAATCGGTCTGTATAGGATTACGAAAACCTTCTCTCTGCGTGTTTATAAACACACAATCACACAACACACACATATTTACATATATATATATATATATACTTGTTCGTTATTTTAGTTCACTAAATATCGCTAAAGCTAATCCAACGATTGTAACAATATTTGGTCTAAAGGGCATTTAAATTAAAATCAATGGTTTCCTTGTTTTTAAAACTATATATATATATATATATATATTCATAAATACATACGGTCACACACACACACACAGTCATATGTATGTATGTATTGTCATCCACAGACCGTTTCGCTGTACCACAGCTCTTTACTGTGGCTAGACATCCGACTGCTTCAAACCGGGATCGAAAATCGACCGTTTTGGCATCAGATCCTACACCTAAACTGTCGGTGAACGATAGAGAAGAAGGGAAATTTTAATGTTTTCTATGCGAAATACACCAGTAGTCAGGAGAGCTCGATTCATAGTTGGAGAGCAATGCGTTAATAGCAGCATATATTAATAAATATAAATATACCCACGTTTGTAGTTAAACTTAAATTTTCATGTTTTTCCTAAGTCGTCAGGATCAATTGGTGCCTGACGATTGGGAAAACCAAGAAACATTAAGTTGCAATACAAACATAGGTATATGTATATTCATTAATATATACTTCTTAGTTCTGTCTAACTACATTTGAGTACTGCTTTGTTTACACATTATATTAATTTAATTATTTATTCGCTTATCTGGTTATGCACGCTAACGCACGCACATGCAGTTGTTACAGGGGGGGGGCGACACTAATTTGTGACACTTTGAAAAGTGTACTTAAAGGTGTTTTTTTGCTGCCGAGTGCTTTTGTGTTGATGAGTAGGTAGTTCAGCATTAACTGTCCATTAATGGTATGAACATTGATTGATGGGTTTGTCTTTGCTTTCATGTTTTCTTTATTTTTACTTCAACTTAGGCGACACTATTT